CCGGTTCCTTTTGAAGCCTACGTCAGGGATGGCCTGAGGCCACTGTCCCACCCGGGCCAGGCTGCTCCTAGCAGGGAGTCCCAGACAGATCCGGGTCCAGGTGCAGCAGGCTGTCCTGGGGCCAGTCTGCATCTCAGAACAGCAAGAGTGTTTTCCCTTTCCTTCATGGTATTCCCAGTGCCTGGCACATGGTAAGGTCTCAACTAATTCATTCATTCACTCATTGGTTCATTCAGCAAATACTTATCGAGCGAGTGCTGTGTGCCAAACTCTGGAAACAGAGCAATGAACAGGACCGATAAAGACTCCATCCCCAATAGTCTTATGTTCTAGGAGTAGCGCATATTCAAGGACCTGTTTATTTGTTCAACAAAAGTCTGTTGAATATGAGTGAATGAAGTCATTCATTTCAGAAGTGCCTCTCGCTCTGGGGCTGGGCAAACCCACACATCTGCAGGGCTTGGCTCACCTTGTTTGCCCCATCAGCTCTGTGGTTGTTGGTCTGCCCTGGCCTGGTGGTCCCTGCCACAGGCACCATAGGAGCCTGTCAGAGCCCACGAGACCTGCCTGCCTCCAGGTACTTACTCAGGGCATCCCTACGCTCTGTTTTGGGGCTACTTCGATGACTAATAGCAAGTTCTCGGTCCCTGCTCTCTGCCTCCCACTCCTTATAGACACAACCCTGCCTTCTGGTGCCTCCCACCTGCCTCCCTCTCGGGATGTGGGCCCCCTTCTTTCATTTACTGAATTCCACATCCTCTGGCATTTTAGCAAGAGACAGTTTGCTCTTCAGCCCCATAGACAGAAAGAGCCCCGAAGGGTGGGGAGGGACACAGAACAAGAGGTGGTCCAGAAAAGCGTGAATGCTCTTGAAAATAGCCCATGAGTGAGCACTTCCCACTCACCAGGGAGTCTACAAGGCTCATGTGATCTTCACAAGGAGGGACGTTGTGTTATCCCCATTTCAGAGATGAGGAAACAGAGACTGGGGGAGGTGAAATGACTTCTTCAAGAGCACAAACTTAGGAACCGAAATCAGACATTCAACTGGGGATCCAGATCAGCCTTGCTTCATGTTCCAAAGCCTCCCACAGGCAGAAAGAGCAGCCTAGGACCAAGCATTCCCTCCGAAGGGGCTACATCCTCCAGGAAGCCTTCCATGATCACCCCTCCCTCCAAGGGGATTCTTGGCTTTTCAGAAGCATCAGAACATCATTGGGGATAACACTTGGCAAACACCTGTCGCTGCCGCAGCCATCATCTCACTGACTCTGGAACCTCAGCTAATTGTGGACTGCGTACCTCTTGTGAATAAGGTTGTCATGCCTGAGACCATGTCTGAAATTTATTTTCTTCTCTGCCGTGAGGCTGCAATTGCCCCTGTATGTCTCAGGGGTGGAGAAATGTTTCTAGAATTAAAGGGAAGGTGTCTTCCAGCACATACACCACGCCTTCTGTCCACGGCCCGTACTAATCCCCAACTCACACTTGGCCCTTTAACCACCAGGAACCTCAGAATAACATCCTTGCAAATAGCTGCTCGCCTGCTGGCCCGGGACCTGAGTGTGTCTGAGTCTCCCATTTCCTTTACCTTCCAGGAGGCTGAGAAAGGAGGGAGTATGAACCACGGTGAGCTGGGACGGTCGAGTGAGGCCTGCCCTCCAGTTCCCTCACTCTGCAGCTGAGATAAACACTTGCCTTGGGCTGCCTGAAGCAGGTTTCCCAGAAGCAGTTATTTACTCCTCTGGCTGACAGTGAAGTCCCAGACACAGCCCCAGAGAAACAGATGTAAATAAAACCAAAGGAAAACTAGGCTCGTCCTTGAAACTCCCCTGTCCCTGGGCCTGAAACAGCGATTTACGACTCGGATAATTCTTCTGTGCTTTATCTGGGGTGTGTGGGTATGTGTGTGGACGTGTGGGGTGCGGGTGTATTTTCCTAGTAATAAAACCCTCAGTCTCGGTGAATAAATTTGAGGAGACAGTTTTACTGACAGATTTTTTCTCTTTTGTGTAATAAAAAAAATGGAGTGAAATTTGAGATTGGGACGATAAGAGGGCTGCAGCATTTTAGGAGGAGATAAAAAAGCAGCACCTGAAGGGAGGTGAGGCCAGGAGAGGGGCTGCTGGTTACACAGACAGCACGCTTTCGCCTCACACCTCCACCAGGCTTCTGACGTCCTTTCTCCTAATGAGCCCAGCCGCGGGGGGCGGAAGGGGACCTTCAGAGGCATTCGGTTCACCCACAGCCTCTTCCAGCCTGGTGGGATCGGACGTGAACTCTGGTCCAGAAGCCAGAGACTTGTCGAGAACCTAGTGTGGGGCCTCAGCTGAATCTTTTTGCCTCATCAAGCCTCAGTTTCTTTACCTGCAAAATGGGAACATTCTCGTCTATTCAGCTCTGTTCCCAGGGACCTCGTACGGCCACACAATGTGATGGGTTTAAAGCTGGGTTTCTCCATCTGGGCACTGTTGACATTTGGAGGCCAGATAATTCTTGGGAAGGGGAAGGGGGCTGTCCCCTTGCACATTGTGAAATGGTCAACAGCTTCCTGCCCTCTATCGGCTGGATGTCAATACCAAATCACACCTTTCTCTCCAATTGTGAAAACCAAAAATGTTTCCTGAACTTGCTGTATGTCCCCTGGTGGGTAGGGTGAGCAAAATCACCCGCCAAGTGAAGGCCCTGCTTGAAAGGTACTTTGGTGGTTCTAAAACGCCAAATGAGGCCAGGCATGTTGGCTCATGCCTATAATCCCAGGACTTTGTTAGGCCATGGCAGATGCATCAGGAGGTCAGGTGTTCAAGACCAGCCTGGTCAAGATGGTGAATCCCTGTCTCTACTAAAAGTGCAAAAATTACCTGGGCGTGGTGGCGCGTGCCTGTGATCCCAGCTACTTGGGAGGCTGAGGCAGGAGAATCACTTGAACCTGGGCAGCTGAGGTTGCAGTGAGCTGAGTCTGCGCCACTGCACTCCAGCCTGGGCCACAGAGTGAGAATCCATCTCAAAGAAAAACAGTCAAATGAGAGAGGTGGAGAGGGGAAGGGGGTGCATGAAGAACGGGAGCCCCTGGAGCGTCTTGGCCTCCACCCCAGGCTGGGACATTGGGAGATGGGGAGATGGACGCTCTGAGCCCAAGTACAGCCAAGTCTCTTCTCCCTGTGCCAAGCTGGGTACAGTCAGCTCAGGGACATTTTTCTAGGTGAGGACAGCGGGTGCAGCGTCAAGCTGTGGTGGTTTAGAGGTGGGCGTCTTTCCTAAGGCAAGTGCCAGTGTGGATCCCAAGAGGAGAGGAGACTCCTCCGGTCCCCTTTCTCCTCATCTTCCTCCACTCTCATCATCCCATTTCAGAAGCTGGGTCTGTGCTGCAGAAGCGGCCAGGTGAGCGGGAGCGGTCCTCTGTCTTCCCTCTGCACACAGTCAGAAAGCGCCAAGCCGTCAGAGGGGAAGAAAGTGACACACGTGCATGTCACTAAGTCCGGAGGAGAGACAGGAGGGGTGTGGGCTTACGGAGGGGTAAGGAGAGGCCTTGCCATGGGAAATCTCCCTCACCGCCGCTTCCTCTCAGGGTCCCAGAGCCTGCGAAGGCCTTCTCATGACTCTAACCATCCCCTTCCTGACAGAGGCCACCTTACTATTTATGAAGCTTACAGTCTATGGAAAGTGATCAATACAGACGAAGCCTGTGTCTGGCACACAGCTGGTGCTCAAACAATGCTGGCCAGATGCATGGAGTCTTCCCTAAACCAGTAGCAACACCACCGAGGTCAGAGAGATGTGATCCAAGTCAGCTCAGGCACATATATACCCAGAAAAGCCCAGCTGTGCCCAGGGTCAGTGCTCCCAGGCAGGGGACAGGGGGACAGATCCACGCTCCAATCCTCACCTTTTTGCCCGGGAAAGCTGCTTTCGGCATCCCCCCTACCTCAGCCCCTCGGAGACACCTGTCCCTAGCCACCACTCTCCCAGCCCCCTCTCCCCCTGCCTCCACCACACAGAGCCGCAGGGAGTTAATTTCACTTCTCCAGGCCCAGGCATGAGGCCTCCCCGCCGCAGGCTGTTAGCGCGGAGCCCAGCTGAGCTGCGAGAGGCTGCAAGCTCCCAGTCTATAATAGAGTTGCTGAGACAAGCGGAAAACTGCAGCCGAGTAAACAGATAAATAATTGAAACAGTGACAACACATACCTTGCTGCTTTGTGGAGTAACACTTTCATTAGCTGGAGGCAGCCAGATGTGGGGAGGCAGGCTGGCGGTGGCCCGGCACCGGACGCTTGGGTTTGCTTTCCATCGGCTACGAACAGTGGGACAGCCCGGCAGCCTCCGTCTTCCAGCGCTGACTTCATCGCCACCTCCCTGCCTTCTCCCACTTCAGCATTCTCAGGTGAAATTCTTAGGTGAATTGGGGACTTCACGTCCTCCCTCCTGGCCCGTTCCAAGAGGAGGGCAGATGCCCCACGCTGTCCCCTTTGGCATCGCCCGTGCCAGGACGTTGGGTTCCTGGCCTCGTCCCGGGCTCCCTGCCTCTAGTCTTGCCCCTTTCAATTCAATCTATAGCCGGGGGAACTTGTAAATCGAAACTGAACATGGCCCTGGGGACCATCGCCATCAAGGGAAGCTGAGCTCCTTTGTCCTGGATACCCTCCATGATCTGGCCCACATTTTCCTTCACAGCCTCTGCTCATCCCATTTCCTTCCTTCTCCAGGCGCTGTGAAGTCAGCAAGCTTCCCCTGAGCACACATTTCTTTTTTCTGCCACAGGGCCTTTGCTGTTCCCTCTGCCTGGAGAACTCCCACCTGTTGCCAGGCTGGCTCCTACTCTTACTTCAGGAGGCAACCTAAACATCGCTGCCTCCAAGAAGCCCTCTGGGATTGCCTTATTCCCAGGATGGGAGCTGTCCTTCTTCTGGGCTTCTTGCCTGCATCTTCCCAGTGTCCTGGGGAAAGGGGTGGCCAGGGCTGGCTCGGCGCTCACGTGTGGCTGCCTCTGTGCTCTGTGGCAGGTGACGGATGGCGGCACCATCAAGCAGAAGATCTTCACCTTCGACGCCATGTTCTCCACCAACTACTCACACATGGAGAACTACCGCAAGCGGGAGGACCTGGTGTACCAGTCCACTGTGAGGTGAGGGCCGGGGTGGGGCCAGCGGGGGAAGGGGGAGGGATGGGGAGGGGAGGGCGGCAGGTCTCCGGCCCTTTCACTGCAATCCCTCGGCGCCCTTGGGCTTGGAAGGCAGAACTGAGGGCTCTGCTTGTGGGATTGGGATCCATGCCCTGGAGGCAAGAGGCAGGAGAGGGGCGGGCCACAGCTCTTCTGCCTGGCCTCCTCTGCCCGCTCCTTCAACAGTCCTGGAAGGTGGGTTTTCCAAACCCCATTTATTTCCAGGTGAGATACGGAGGCCCACAGGGGTGAGCCACGGGCCTAAAGTCACGCAGGTGGCAGTGACAGCGTGGGGTGGGGAGCCAGCTCTGTGTGGCATGGAAGCCTGTACACCATGGTTTCTTGTGGGATCCAAGGCCATGAGGGCCCCGAGCTTAAGAAAGAAGGACCCCAAGCAACAGGACTCCCAGGTCAGAAGCAGCAGGGTGGGGAGGAGCAGTGCTCAAGTCAGAGATTCGTGATTTTCCCACCCCGTCCCTGTTTCCCAGGAGGCGGGCAGCAGAATCAAGCTGACTACATGTCCTTCTAGACCCTGCCGTGTTCTATGTGCGTGGCTCCATCCACTTCCCGCAAACTCGCTACAGGACCCTAGCCCTGTTTTATTCCTTTGACCCTTAACACACGCTGGTCCCTCTTCTCAAAGGGCCTTTCTCCCTTTGGCCATCTGGTAAACTCCTCGTCAGCCTTCAGAACCCCACTCAAGCAAGTCCACCCGTGGGACCACTCACCTTAGCTGAACAGATGCCCCAAAGCTGGTCAGCTGGAACTGCCCCGGTACTCACCCCTCCTCAGAGGGAGTCTCACTGCATTCATGAAGAATGCAGATTTGCACACACACACACACACACACACACACACACACACACTTCCACGCCACACTGCCAAATGCTTTGACAGGCGCCCAGCTTGAAAGCGGTGGTCTGCTCCAAAGCTGCAGGGGGACCGCTCTGCATCGTGCACCCTGAGGGGGACTGCCGCCGGCAAGCCCGCATGACGTGCACTGCGGCACCGTGCCATGTGGATGTCCCAGCTAGCCTGGTACTGGGCTGTCTTTAAGCTCTGAGCTTGGAGGAGAGGGAGGCCCCGTGCTCCAGCATGGACTGTGGGTCTCCCAGTGACCATGAGCTTCAGAAGGGCAAGGCACCTGCTCCTCCTTCACCTTTTGCATCCTCAGCTCTCAGCCCAGGGCTTGGCATGCAGTGAGTGCATAATGAAATTTGCAAAGTGAGTAGACAGCCCAGGCTATGCTCCTCGGCTGTTCAGGCCTGTTTTCTATTGGGTAAAATTAGAAAATGGGACAAGAAGATTGTAAAGGGTGAGTCCAGCCCTGCACGGGGAATCCAGCCCGGGCCTCCTCCTCCGCCTGCCTTTGTAAGAATGTGAAGGTGGGTATGCCCCCGGGGGCCTTGCTGCATCCTCCTCCTCTGTGGGTTCTGTGCCAGGACCCTGCTGAGAGTGTGGACGTGAAGGTGTGTGAAGAGGTGTGTGAACAGCAGCACAAATGCCTTCATCCATCTCCTTACGATTTCTTCTGCACCTGCTTCCAAAAAGAAATGATAGTGCCTAAAACAAGCCAGCTACAACCAAGATGAAAAAGGAGATAAAAACTCATTTGGGAGAAAATAGCTATTCTGGAAACCACAGATGGTTTTGTAGTAAGTGAACTCCCAAATCATCTCCAAGATTCCCGGAAACCTAATGCCACACAGTTCACCCCTGCCAGTCACTGTGTCTCTGAGAATCCCTGTCCCTCCAAGCCACCTACTGCCACAAGCATGGCCTCTAGGACTTCTTGGTTCTGATTTCTAAGCTAAAAAAGAAACCCAGGGACCACCTAGAACATCCTTGAGCCCCACCCTCTGCTGCTTCCCGTAGTCTCCAGGGCAAACACTGCTACCAGAAGACCCAGATGCAAATCCCAGGTCATTCTGCCTACCGAATGACCTTGGACGAGAGCCGTCACCTCCCTCTCTCTTTGCTTCAGGTTTCTCGCCTGGAAAGCAGGCTTGGCATGATTGGCTTTGTACTGTTGTGGTGGAATTTCAGAGGAATTTAGGTCCAACAGCCTGAGTTCAAATCCTGCCTCTTCCAGCTCCTGGCATTAGTGAAATCTGGGGCTGGTAGCCCCACAATTGAGTTTCCTGACCTCCAAAGGAACACGGCAGCATTTAGAGGCTGGCCAGCCTTGTGAGGAGCAGGTGCGTGCATTCAACTGAAGTGCTGGTGTCCCGTCTCCAGGTGGTACATGTTCGCTGCCGTTGCCTAGAACAGCCCCTCTTTCTCTCACCATAAAACAAACCAAAAAAACTCACATTTTTACAAATCTCTTAAAGCCCCCTTTTATGTACTCTTTCTGTTTTGATCTGCACAAACAACCCCATGAATGCAGACAGGTATGATTATGATTGATTATGATTATGATTATGATTATGAGCGATGGAGTTTCGCTCTTGTCGCCCATGCTGGAGTGCAATGGTGCGGTCTCGGCCCACCGCAACCCCCACCTCCCAGATTCAAGCGATTCACCTGCCTCAGCCTCCCGAGTAACTGGGATTACAGGGATGTACCACACCTGGCTAATTTTTTGTATTTTTAGTAGAGGCGGGGTTTCTCCATGTTGGTCAGGCTGGTCTCAAACTTCTGACCGCAGGTGATCCTCCTGCCTTGGCCTCCCAAAGTGCTGGGATTACAGGTGTGAGCCACCTCTCTCAGCTATCATTATTGGTAGTAGTAGTAATTATTTTCTCTAGCCCTGTTCTTACTACAGGAGAGGTCAAAGTTCAGCAAGGCCCAAGGGTCTTCCTCTGGAATGACATGAACTTGACCAGACCCCTTGCTTTTCAGCTGTGGAGGCCAAAGCCCAGAGAGGAAATGAGACTTGCCTGAGTTCACACAGCAGCCCTGACTTAAGCCTGATTTCAGGAGCCAGTGTTCTTTTCTTTCCCACAGGGGGGTCAGTCTCCCCCACCTTCTCCCTGAGCCTCAGTTACAGGAGTGGTCTCCCAAGCAGAGAGCACCCTGGGGAGCTGAGCTGTCCTGTTTGGCGTTCACCAAGGGAGAGGGAAGGAAGGAACAGACCTCTAGAGCCTGATAGGATCACAGAGGACTCTTGGCCCTCCCGACCAGCCGTGCTGGGGGCGGCTGCCTCTCCAGGCTGCAGAGCCCCATCAGGGCTGGCGGTGGGGCGCAGGACTCCGCATTTACATATAAATGAAGATATTTACAAATTAATACATCTCAACAAGAGAGAGTCCCAGCTCCACAGCTGTCTGAGCTGTTTCCTCTTCAGCTGGGGAAACTGGGCAGAGAATGAGGCTGAGAAGATTACCAAGAATTGGCTGAGAGCAATTTCCCGGGTAGCCTAGAGGAGCCCCAGGGACTCCTGGAGCTTTCTCTCCTGCCCATGAGGCCCTGAAGGGATGGAAGTCGGGTGGAGTGTCAGGACTTCTGCCCCCAGAGGGTGCAGGTGTGGCTCCCCAGCTGCACGACCTTGGACTGCCTCTCCGATCATCCCAGAGGCCCATCTATCAAATGCCTTTCCAGGTCTCAGACCCAGAGCCCAGAACTCCCAGGTTGGAATTGACAAGAATGTATTCCCTTCAAGCCTATTTAGTTGAGCACCTCCTAGGAGCCTGGCTTGGTAGAATGTGCCCAGGGATACCATAGGGAATGAGAAAAACACAGCTCTGCAGTCTAGTAGGGGAGACACAGCAAAATGTAACTGACTACGTCATTCCACATTCTGCAAAGAAGTAATTCTATACCATGGGCGTGTAATGAAGGGGCAGGTGGGGTACAGTGCTGGGAAAGGCTGAGATTCAGGGTGCCATTTAGATGGGTGGTCAGGCAGGGCCTCCGAGCAAGGTGGCACTTGGGTGGAGACCTAGGGGCAGGAAGGAGCCCTCTGTGGAAGGGAGGAGGCGGATTGTGGCCGATGGTTATCCTGCCCTGCCCACATCCTCTTACTCTTCGCTCTTCCTGGCAGTGCCAGCATCCTTGGCGCTTACCTGGGTTTTCTCAGAGCACTGGAGCCCACTCAGCCTGCACACGGGGCAGGCGAGAAGTGCCGGGGAGTTGACGCCACCCCTGGAGCAACCTTGACCAATGACTGATCATAGGGTGCATACCCAACCGCCTCATCCCTCCAGGGGGACGGTTCAGACGTGTGCTCGGGAGGACAAAGTACATGCTCCTCCTTCACCTCACACGCCCACCTCTCAGCCCAGGGCCTGACACACAGTGGGTGCATAATGCAATGTGCAAAATGAGTGGGCAGCTCAGGTATGCTCCTTGGCCTCTTGGGGGTGTTTCCTAATGGGCAAAATTAGAAAATGGGACAAGAAGGGGGGACATTGAGAAACTCTGGGAAGGCTGCTGTCCACCATCTCCCTGAGTGTCTCAATGCCCTTCCCCTCAGAATAACCTTGAGAATGCAGCTGTATTGGCTTCCTTCCCTTCTAGCTTATTCCGCCAGCTTCCGGAACCCCTTCTCACATAAACCCCTTGCTCCTAAATCCTTGTTTGAAGGTCTGCTTTTTATTCCACCCTTCTAGGTTCTTGGCTGGGGCCTCTGTAGCAAAAGATGGATTCACAAGACAAAAGAATCTGTCTAGTTTGTATAAGTTTTAGGTGACACAGGAGCTTTTATAAGGCAATGAAGACTCACCAAAGCGGTTCACGCTGAGTGTTCTTTGCTGGCTTGGGTGAGGGGTGGGGAGTCGTGGGAAAATGTGAAGGATAGAAGGCTCTGAGCTAAGGGCGGTAAACTGGGGACACCTGGCAGGGCAGCCTGTTCGGATTCCTCTGAGGGGAAGACACTTCCTTCCTCCAGGTACAGGGAGGGAGCCACTGACGTGAAGGTCTTGTGACCTGCTTCTGGGAAAGGTCAGAGAGTCCTTCCTGCACCTGCCATTTCTTAGATTCCATCTGATTAAAATATTCAACATAGGGAGGTGCCATATTTA